AAAGAGGACGCTGTTTGTTCTTGTAAAGATGTACAGCCTCAGAAACCCCACGTGGGCTCACTATGAGTCTGAATTGACTATGGCAGTGGGATTTTTTTTTTTTTTTTTTTTCCCCGTGCACTGATCTCTTAAGGAGGTAGTTGTATTTGCTGTCTACCAGCCTGGTCTCAGGTGGCCTGTAGGTGCTTGGTGGTCCGGAGACCCTGCAGGATTGTGAGCATAAGCCCCCAGGGTAGGGCAGGTTGAGTGGCCTCCCGTGGGGTCGCTGCTTCTCCCTGGTGCAGGACGGCAGGTGGCACTGCTCCCTCACCTCTGTTCTGCGAAGCTTTGTTTAGGTCTCTGGTCCCTTAAACAGCGTTCTCTGTGTGGAGACACCTGTTCCGTAGACCGCTACCGTCATGGCCAGGACGCAGCAGGGGCTGCTGGAGTAAGGGGAACTGTGGGTACCGAAAGCGACTGAGAAGAGTGGCCGTATGGGGACAAGCATGTCACTGTGTGTGCGTGTGGTTTGAAGAGTGAGTGGGAAGGTCCGTCTTGTGCAACGGGGACGGTGGATGGGCATTTAGAATCCTGGGAGTGGGTTTGGACAGGGAGGAGCCCAGCTCCAAGTCCCGGCCAGTTCTTCTGGACAAGCCTCCGGTTGGACCCAGAGTCCTTGTGACCCTTATCCCCGCTGTCCCCAGACAGAGCCGCCATGGCGACCCCAGCGCCGGGGCCCATTCACCTGCTGGAGCTATGTGACCGGAAGCTGATGGAGTTTGTCTGCAATGTGGACAACAAAGACATGGTGTGGCTGGAGGAGATCGAGGAGGAGGCCGAGCGCATGTTCACCAGGTGAGGGCAGGGGTCTGGGCAGGGGTCTGGCTCGGGTGTGTTGGCTGCCTAGCTGCGACAGCCCTTGGGACACAGCAGCCCTGGCCTGACAGGCAGGACAGACAGCCTGTCCCTGCTGAGTGCCTGGTGCGCCTGCCAGGGGAGAGGAAGGAGAGGCAGGGCCCTGGCTTGGTGTCTTGCCAAAGTGAGGGCAGGCCCGGCTGGGGGGGGCTGGGGGGGGCGCGCCGGGCCCTGGTGGCCATCGGAGGAAGCACAGGTGCTACGTCCTTTCCTTGCAGAAAAGGGAGGGCGATGGGGGTGGTGTCTGGAAAGGGAACCTC